CACCATGAACAAAACCTTGAGTACTAATCAGTTTACTCTAAACTGTACAATAAATATAAACTAAAAAGAAATTTGTTGTTTTTTTTTTCGTTATTTACTAATCTAAACCGATTCATATGATTAGCCATATCTAATTCTGGAAATCCTTCACAAATTTTTTCAATTATTGTGGTTGTTTTAAAAGCGATCCTATTGAAATAAAGAATATATAAGGATTAGAAATAAATCAAATTAAAATCTATACATTCGAGCAATGTCTTCAGCTTGACCTTGTTCAGAAACAAGAACATGCTTATTATGAAAATCAGTTAATGTACGCATCTGTGTTTGAGCAAGAACAACTTGTTCAGGATGAAACTGTATTAAAATATATATTTTTTTGAAAAAGTCGAATGAAAATCATTAGAAAGATTAACTTACAGTTACTCCAAGTACAGCCGATAATCGTTTAGCTTTATCCGATTCGAGCATACATGTATTCAAAACAACTACCATAGGTACAATGAACTGAATTAGTGTTTGAATCGCTGGTTTAGCAACTGTAATGCAATTTGAACCTTTCGTAATAACACCATCAATATCAAAGAAGCAGGCAAAGTTTGACTATTAAAAAAAATATGTATTAATAAAAATAAATACAAAAATTCAAATATTTGTCTTACTACTTTCGTGGTAGAGATTCTTAGTATCAATAAGCACTCGCTAGTTTCGTTTGAAAAAAAACAAATTTAAAATAGACGCTTTTTTTTGTGAGCAAAACTGAGCAGATCGATGGTATTTATATACCAGTATCTATAACAGAAAAGAGGTACTAGAGAGACCAGTCTGTGAATATTATGCCTTACATATTAAAGATCATTGTTTAATTTTGTTCATATGATCAATTTGTATTGCTCTTGAGTCAGATGATATATGTGTTCTTGCGCAGAACTCACACTCACTGAGTGATATTATTCTGTTATTGGTACATTCTCCTCTTTTCGTTCGTTGTATAATGCCATGATGTTAGGAAAAGACTGTAAAAGAGATAAAGAACGAAGCACATTGTTTCTCTTTTTCTATTCTGTTGGAAGATGAAGTCAAGAACGAATCGAGTACGTCGTTCTATTTATTATCCACAGAGGCTACGTGTATAAATAATATTATAAGTATATTTCTATCTGAATGCACTAAACATACAAGAAATTCCAAAGTTTAATAACCATACCTTCAGTAAGTGTTGAATTCATGCCAACAAATACGTCAATTCTATGACGTGAATTCTATTGCTGTGTGATCGTTCAGGAAAATAGATGAAATTCATACAATAGATTTAGCTACCATTTTCTCTCTTTTTGACTTGAACTTGTTATATTTTGTACTTTTTTTATCAAGTACAGTTCATACAAAATTTTTTACCATTAATCTGTATATTTTAATAATAATGAAATATTTCTTTCGTGTAAATGGATACGTTTGATATTCAAATATTGTACAAAATAATACTACAACTAAAAGATTATTTATCATTTATTGAAGTTATGTTCAGATTCAAAAATTCTCTATTAATTTTTAATGATTAACTATATGTTCATTAAATGACATACTTTAATGATGTATGACGTAGTTTTTCAAAAGGAACAAGATAGAAACTAATTTTTTTGTTTTGGTAGAGCGTAAGAGTAGGAAATTGTGGAAAGAAGATTCATATTCACATCCACACCCTGTTCACTTTCTTTACTGTTGACAGTAGAACAAAGAAACTATCAGTACTGCGCGACACTTTACCTACTCTTGGTTGTTTCTTTATTTGTTCTATTATGAATAATAAAGAAAACTAGATAAAACATGCGTCTTTCATTGTAACATTGCATATGCACAATTTTACACATAAATTATCTGAAGATGTTAATATTGAGGATTAGAGATCAATAAATTAAAGTTAAATAACTACATCAGAAGAAACCGATCCAGTATTCTTATTAATAGATCAAGGGGAAACAGCTAGCTTCATAACTTCATGAGACTTCAGAAGTAAAATCTCTACTGTTCGTCCCTCGTAATAGACGAGTTTAAGTTAAGTTAGAAATGCAGTTGTATCGAAAATAAACTGATTTCTCAAGAATCTAACATTCTTGAGAAATCTGTACCATTCAATAGAAACAGCAATAATTACTGTTTTTGAGAGTTATAGATGTCTAAAAGTTTAGTTCTTCAAAAATCATTCTGTATAGGTTATTCGATTGTTACGCACTTATCTCTATGATCACTATAAAATCCATCAATTTTAATATTATCTGGATTTTTTCATTTGTTATCAGAGTATCAAAGATTCTAACACTCATAAACTTCTGCTACTCTCAAACTCAACAGACAAATATGAAAATAGAAAGAACGTTTTAAGTAATAACACATCAATTCGAAATTTGAATTGTTTTGTAAAATTGCTTTGTTCATGATAAGTTATAACTTTTTCTATTTGCTTATTGAGTTTGTAATCTATGAATCAACAATTGACCGACTCAACTATATAGATGATAGATTACACAAAAAGGTATCACAATTCAATCAAGGAATCTTCTGCATTTTTTCTATACTTAATGGCTGCGTGGAGACCACAACCATCTGTCGGAGAGAAGTACTGACACTGTTATCGAAATAATTGTTGTTTTTAATCACAATGAAAATTTTTTTCATTCGTCTCGGTTCAACATCAACTTAATGCGACCTCTCGCTCTTTTCAGAGTTTCGTGGAAAATGCTCGATGAAAAATTATGAACCTTTAAAGGAAGATATATCTCGATAAATAAAGCAAAAGTTGTCATAGACTTCAGGAAGTCATAGAGGTCGCAAAAACTAGAAAAATCCCCCTTCAACCGGATTGAACGTAGTGCATGGGAGAAAAACACGAAACAATGTACAGTGTTTAGCATTTTCGTTACGTAAATTTGATTTATCTTCGATTTTTTTTACTATTTAAAGACATTTTTTTGAGTCTCAAAATGTACTCAATCGATAGGTACTATAGACAAAACAATAGTCAGAAAACAAGGTCGTTCTCTCGTAAGTTCAACATTTTCAAGAAGACAAATAATATTTTTAAATAAGTTTATTCGTTT